AAAAACATTCGTTCCTCAAGTTGTACAAATGTGCTAATAACGTTATTCTGAGAGTATATCCCTCTGCATTATGAACGAGCATCTAACCCACGGGACCGCGCCGCCCGGCACGTTCATGTTACGTGTTCAGCACTACATGCGTTTATCTCTTATCTTTACCCATGGATGCACAATAACAACGGACCCATATCGCCTTACTGCCAGCCCACGGAGCTGTAATAATGGATATATTGCACATGTTTGCTGTAATTCATCATTTGTAAAATATTATACTACATGGGCTGTATGATTAAATATTGTACCGTAAATGTTGTATTAAATAAAGTTAATATTACCGACGTTAGATTAACGTCCCTGCAGCTTATTATTGCACTAAGAAGCTTATTGCAGTGCAATAATTATTTCATGCTAAATGAAGCTTTGTTGCTTGGATATCACTAGATCATGTTACAGCGTAATATAAGTACATAAAGATTGATGTCTGTATTAGCATAATTACTAGCTAGCTTCTAACTGCCGCCTCGTTAATATCAAATCCATCATAATAACAAACCATTACCATGCTGTCATGGTAATGCCTCGCGGTGCTGTTACGTGTACGCAAATTGACGTGCTTGATGTGAACGAGCATTTTGGTTAAAGTTGCGCATGCGCTATGAACGCACATACGGGTACTTCTCAAGCATGCCAGGTAATCTGTGACGTTTCACTCTCTCAAAAGGTGGGCCATTTTATCATCATGCGCTAATGAGCAACTCTCATAGGATTGAATGAGGCCCCGCCTCCCACGCTGTATCCAGTTCTTATTATACATCCATGGGTGAGTACTGGCCCAATTCAAGCACTGACGATTATATCAAATATACTACATTCCTCCCAAATTAGGAAATGTTGTTGATGTTAAAAAGTCTGTATTGTGTTACCAGGGTACTGAGAGCTGAGACGAGGACAGAGAAACTAACCTTCTTCAGCAGATGAATATGGAAACATAGCCTACTATACATCTTTCTGCTGAGTACAGCTCCTAAATCCAAATGAACAATAAGCAAAAACACATCTGCAAATTAGCACCCCCATGTGGCACTGGGAAGGAAGTGTTTAAAAAAGACAAAAACAACATGTCATCAGTGAAACAAACCACCAATTTCGTTTGAGAGATACATTACATTTAATAGTAAAAGTACAACACAATGCAGAATGTGTATATCGCAGTGGCGAACCGTCAGGGCCTTTATCTTTATTAGGATCCCCATTAGCACTAGCATGAGCATTGGCTATTCTTCCTGGGGTCCTCACACACTCAAAACATACATAAACATACATACAACAAAATTAAAACAAAACAAAACAGCTCATAATTTCATGCAATTTACAGTGCTGTATGAAGTGAAAACTAAAATGGTCATCCAATTATCGCCATCCTAAGGCCAAACAAAAGTAAATACAAATAAGTGTACATAATAATATATGCATACATAGCCACAGGCACAGTTCAAATTTACTTTGTAATACTTAAATATTTTTTTAGCAACCTTTTGAAATGTACTTGAGAATTTTCCTGAATGATGTGAACCGGTAAAGAGTTCCAGCTGATCACGGCTTTGTACTGTTTTCTGTCCCATATTTGATTTAGATTTGGGTAATACAAACCTTCCTTCTATTGTATGTCGTGTTTGATAGTTATGTTGTGCATATTGCGCTATAAACCTTTGTGATAATATATCTGGTGAGTGAGTCACTGTAATATTTCTGACAACATTTAATAAAATATAAGTTGACCTCTGTCTGACAGTTAACCATTTCAGTGTCTCCAGCATTTCAGTGACTTTGGTTCTGTAGGAGCACTGCAGTGCACATCATGCTGCCTTATTTTGTGCTACTTGTAGTTTGTTTAAATCTTTTTCAGCAGCACTAGACCATATAACCAAACAATAATCAAGCTACGACAGAACCAAAGCATCCAAAACTTGTCTACTGACATCCATAGGCAAATATTTTACAATTATTTTTACAAGTGACACACCCCTTCCCATTTTACATACAACACTATCAATGTGTTTAGACCAAGATAATTTATGATCCAGGGTTATACCTAGCAATTTTGTCTCCTTGACCTGTTCAATTTCAATATGGTTTAAATGTAGTTGCAATTTTGGTTCACCTTTTAACTGATGATTTGATCCTATTAATAACGATTTTGTTTTTCCCGCATTAAGTACCAACTTATTATTTATGACCCACTCTGATATCAGTAGTAGATCTTTATTCATAACATTTGTCAACTCTCTTGTAGTTGATGCTGCATAATATATTGTTGAGTCATCTGCATACATTACAATTTTAGCTTTTTCTAACACTAATAGTAGCTCATTTGTAAAAATAGAAAATAAAAGTGGTCCCAAACAACTACCCTGAGGTACTCCACAAGTGACTGTTTTCATCTTTGAGAGACTTCCATTAAAAAAAACAGTTTGACTTCAATTTGTCAGGTAACTTTCTAACCACTTCAGCGTTTCAAAATGAAAACCATATTGTACCAGCTTGTGTAACAACAAAGAATGATCAATGACATCAAAAGCAGAACTAAAATCGAGTAGTACTGCACCCACTAACTTCCTATTATCTAGTTCGCCCTTACAGTCATCTGTCATTTGTGTTAAAGCGGTGCATGTGGAATGGCCAGGTCTGTAAGCATGTTGATACACAGTATTAAGTTTGTTACCTTCAAAGTATTTTTGTATTTGATTGAAAATTATTCTCTCCATTATCTTTGCTAATGCTGGTAATAAACTTATTGGATGGCTATTTGTACCAGAAAATGGTCCAGCTGGATTTTTTGCAAGTGGAATAATTTTTGCTATTTTCCATGCCTGTGGGCAAATACATTTATCAATACTCAAATTTATAATATGACAGATAGGCTCTGCAACAAAATTAGCAACATATCTAAGAAATGTACCAACTAAATGATCCACTCCTGGTGGTTTATCTTTACATTTACCTAGTAGACATTCAACATCTGTAATTGTCACTTTTTCTATTTTAAATGTACACTTCTTATTTTTCATAATTAAATCCTTTATTAGAAATGTGGAGTTACTACTGTATTTATAGTTTGATTCATATTTCTCCTCAAATGTTTTACTTTATCAAGAAAATAATCATTCAGATGATTAGCAATTTGTACTGGTTTTGTCAAAAATGCCTTCAAGGTATTCAGAGAATACCCTGGAACACTCAGATAAAACATACAAAAAATCGATTTAATTATATAAATAAAATGTAATAAAATGTATATAAAATGAATAAATGAGAATCGTATCTGTGTTGTTGATCTGTAATATTACAGTGCGGCGGCGGCGGGGGGTGTGTGTTTCTACAGAAGGTCCAGTTGTGATAGACACGGTTCACCACTGGTATATCGCTTGGGTTAAGTCAGCGGTTCTCAAAGTGGGGGCGCAGAGGCATGCCAGGGGGAGCGCGAGGGACCAGGAGGAAAAATGGTTATAAAAAAAAAAAAAAAATCATAATTTGAAAAATTATTGATTCGAAAATAATATGATGCAGTACAGTACTATGTACTGTGTGTGTGTGGAACGAGCCATTTTGTGTGCGTGCGCGAGCGAGAGAGAGCGCACACCGGTACCGGAGATCGTTGTTGTTAGCTTCTGGTGCTAGCGAGCTACGCTAACGGATATAAGAAGTTTTTTCAACAACAAAGTGGAGGAGAGTCCTCTCCTGTCAGACTGAGAGACTCAGTGAGCTAAAGGCTCTCAGTGTTATCTCAGTGGGTCTCAAACGTTTTGGTCACCATTAATGTAAACAATTATTTCCGAGGCACACATTTATATGATCATTGTAGTTTAAAAAAAATAAGAGAATAAATTAAAAACAGGTATGAAATACTATATGACAGTAAAACAAGAATAAAGTTTAAAAGGGGAGTGATTTGTAAAATATCCATAGAGAAAAAGTAAATCTGTTTACAGTTCTGTTTCAAATGGGTGTTGAGAGATGTATCTAGATCTATTAATTTTGCTCTCAAAGTGCACCAGATTAATGCATTTAACTTCAATATTGAAAGAAAGATCTTCCAGGGGGAGCTTGCCCCCGGACCCCCCTATGTTAGGTCCACACACCACCTATAAAAATAGCACTTGACCCCTGCTTATGCATATGCCGTGACCCCTGCTTATGCATATGCCGTGAGCTGATTATCGAGCCTTCATTGTAACAGTCGCGGGAACACTGTGTATGCGTGTGGGGAGTGTTGCAGTAGAAAGTTCAACTGTAGCGCCCGGTACATTAATGGGAAACCCTAAATGTTTGAGCACCCTCTATGAAACGTCAAGCTACCCCACAGCACCCCCAAAATAAATCTCTGGCGCCGCCACTGAGCCTGACTATTTGTGTTGGGGGGGCCCAACTTTTTTTTTTCTCCAAAGGGGGGGCCTGACAGAAAAAGTTTGAGAACCACTGGGTTAAGTGAACATTTGTACACATGTTAATGGGAGGACGAGAAGGTTACGGTCACTGGAGTATTTCCATACATGTAAATTATTACATTTCCCCCCACTATTGACAGTGTCATTTTGAGTGTGCAGCTCTTGTTTCTGAAATCTAAATATAGTTTATTTTTTCTCTTTTCTCTTTCTTTTGGGGAAAGGAGAAGAATGAGAAACTTACAATTACAATGTTTTGAATCACATTGGCTTTGTTCTCTTCTTTAATACAGAATTAATGTATTGCTTGTTTGACCATTTCTGGGCAGCCTGAACATTTGTTTCTTCATATTTAAGTAAGTTACAACCAATTTGACAAAGTGGATTATGGAATAGTGGAGTTGAGAATCGTTATTTAATGTGGCCAAGAATGAGTTCCCTCAGTAAAAGAACTGTGTTTGCAGCACTATCGAGAATCAAAGTAAACACCGTGTGGCCCGACAGTCCAAAACAGCAGAGACCTCACTGAACAACAACACACGTCATTTAAAGGGGGAGATGTCTGTGTCACGTGGTCCTCTCAGCTTCCTGTTTACCGCCTGTTTTACCTTCAGACTGTAGTACACAGATTGCAACACCGCTCTGCACTACTGGGGATTTATTTCACAACAACATATGTAGCGACAGAACTGAGATCCTGCAGCTACATGGTTGACAACTGTATAACTTTATTCCTTGTATCGTCTTGGCCATGGTTACTAAGGAGACATGAAGACGTGACATTGAGGAAACGTGAGCAGGCCTGGGAGGATCCTGGGGCTTTCCTGACTCCAGCTGACCGGAGTTCAGTTAACGTTCGGCGGTGTTGAGACTCGGCCATCACTTCTACTCATATTGCAATTGCAAACAAAGAAGCGGTGATGTGGAGGACTACAAACGTCTGAAATTGTTTACATGAGTTCACGGAGATATTAGTTAAAGGAAACCACAAAGCTAAGCTGAACTAGCTTGTGCCGTGCTAACTCCGAAGGCAGCAGCAGTCGCCGCCGCGGTGTGAGTGGCAGGCTGTGGGGGCTAGCTGACGGGTTGTGTTAGGAGAGCGGAGCAGCTCGCCGGTGCCCTGAATTCAAGAGGACTCCCCGGCTCCGGCCCACTCAAGCGGGCAGTCAGAAAGAAGCTGGCTGGGAAGGGATGGCCTGGTCGGCCTTCCCGTTCCTTAGGACAAGGCTCTGCGGTGTTTGAAGGAGGTCGAGTTCGGCTAGAGGCCACCACCGCGGGTCGTGTCGCTATGATGGCCGCCTCCCCTTCCCTGGCCGGCGGTTTCCCAGCCTCCGCGCTATCGTTCAAAAAGAGCGAGGAAATCGAGGATTTGATAGATTTGTTTTCCAAAATGCAGTACAGAGCAAAGGAAGTGACTCCTCGGGTAAGATTGTGGGTCATCATTCGGTGTGTTTTAGCTGCTTGACAACAGGTCATTGTCTCATGTCATGTGTCATTGCACAATGCTGGAATAATGGAAGTGTCCTTGTACGTTAGCAAAACAACACATACTGCAAGTAGTGATTTATGACCTCTTTACAACCTTAAGGAACCACTGATCAGATTGGCATCCATCTGATAGTTTGTAGATGATGAGCAGGTTGTGTTGCTCTTGTGACCCTCTCCTGTACTCATAGCCTTCATTGGCAATGTATGTTATTGTTGAAAACGTGAATTACTATGGGTATTTCGTTTATTCATAGTTAAATATATTTTTCTATATTGTAAGAGCAGTTCCTAGATCGCATTTTTAATATCAACATGCTATTGTTGTTGACCTACACTCTGCTTAGTGACACAACTGAATGTAAAGGGACACTCACTTTAATGGTGAGAGTCTGCTTCTAACTTTGACACCATGTGTCACACAAACAGCTAGATCTGCATCCACAGTATGTGTGGATACTTTTTTAGAGGTGATCCACAGCTGCAAAAAAATCAGTCATCAAGGTACTAGTGTTTATGTTAATGAGATGCTACCTGATGTAATTCATTCTGTGTTCTGTTAAAATAATGCCCATTTCAGACATGAAGCTGGACTTCGGTTAAATGTGGTTGTTAGGTTACCTATATAGTTTAATCATCTAAAAACGACTCATTCCCAAGTTCTGTTATTTTCCAGAAGAAGAATGATGTCCCTTTTTTAAAACAACTACTATAACTCTGTCTTTGTTTCTCGTCCTCAGGTAGAGGCGATAGAGAAGCGGTGTCTGGAGTTGTTTGCCAGAGATTACAAGTACAGCATCATCCACAACGCCAATGGAGAAGTGTGCGGGCATTACCCCAGGCAGATCGTGTTCCTGGAGTACGAAAGCACAGATGTGGAGAGAGACAGGTACCGTTTTCCCAGTTATTCTCTGATCCAAAGTTCAGTCCACTCGGTTACCAATTCCCTCTTGATTGTGTCACTCCTGAACATGCTCACCTTGCTGCAGAGCAAAGGTCAGGCTCCATCTCCAGCCCCTCTGCTCACACCAAGCAGCAGAAAGGGAGGGGGAACTTCTGAAGTCTCATCTGGAATGATTTATAGTGATTCAATAAGTCTTAACTTCTCACTGCTCTTAATGCAGTTAGACTGTTTTCCACTGTAGTGCTGAAAATAGAAATTGTGCTGAAACAAAGGAGGAAACCCTGATTCACAAGAAAGGGTGTTTTAAAAAAAGCCTTATTGGGCAAATCCCTCATGGCACAGAACTTTTTCCCTTCCAACAAAATGTGTCATGTTTTAATTTTATAGTCGGTCTCGCAGTCTCCCACAATTCAAAATAACAAACTAGGAGAAATTCTTAAATTCTTCATCAGGTCAATTGAAAATGTGTGCATGTGCAATTTGTTTAAAAAATATCAATACATTAGTGGCATTGCTTACAATTCTTCACCCAGAAATATTAATAAGACAGTTATATTGTTGTCCTTTGTTTTACTGAGAAGGTTATCTGTCGTGAACTTTTGGATCATTATTTATTTTCTTGTACTTTTTATTATCATACATTTTTTGACTTCCTTGTATTCCTTGAATTGTTATATTATGTTTTTATGCTGCATGTGTGCAAAACGTTTTTAACGTTTGACCCAAGCGGTAAACTCTGGGGAATAGCCGGGACGCCAATACGGAAGTGCCACACACTGCAGTTCATATATTGGCCGATAGGCGATGGCTGCAGAAAGGAGCAACTTCCATGGACCCCCATGTTAAAATGCCCAACTTTACAGCAGAAAAAAACATGTTTCTACCCCTGGCTCCATACATTTTATTATCGATATAGTTAGATTCCACCTTCATGGTTATGAATCTGTGAGTGAATTGTTTTCTAACACGACACTTTTATTTATATTAGGTCTTAATGTTTTTGCATAAATTAGGGCGTGGTCACATTGAGTGACGGCTCTGTGAAGTGACTGCTGCTGCTAGCTTCATGTCTCTCTGCTAGCTGTTCCGTGAAGCTAGCTACAGGGACTTACAATTACATAAGGACCTTATTTGGAGCAGGCGGGAGTTGAACTCTGACGTCACTGTCGAGCCGTTAGTGGCCGACTCCGCCTACTAAGGGCTTCTCGGCAACTGCAGAATCCTATGGGTGACGTCACGGACCCTACGTCCATTTATATATACAGTCTATGGTTTGACCTGAATTGGATTTCTTGTTTCTTTAATTTGTGATCTGTGCCATGTTGTAAAACACTTTGAGCGGCACCTAGTGTACGAAAAGTTCTATACAAGTAAAGCTATATTATCATTTTATCATGGTTTAAAGCCCCGGACACACCAAGCCGATTTTGGCCGTCGATGGGCGTCAGGCCGACGATGAGCGTCGACACGCCCTACTCAGATTGGTGTGTCCCGCACCGTCGTGTCTTTTCAGCCGTGCCGACACCTTTTCGGCCGAAAACCCACCGATTCAACATGTCGAATCGGTGGGCAGCAAGCCCCCAGGAAGTGCGCCGGACTCTGATGAGAATATTCGTTGTGGCCAAATGGCGGTACTACACTTCCGTTAGGTTGCTGGGCCGGAAACACTTTTTCCCATTGACTTACATGGGGAAAGAGTGGTCTGTAAATCGTTGGATAATTTTTTTTAAACTAAATAAACTACCCAGTATGAACGTTTGTATAGCCCTTATTAAAAGCATTCGGTCCTCAAGTTGTAAAATATGCTAATAACGTTATTCTGAGAGTTATTTTCCTCGGCATTATGAACGCGCATCTAACCCACGGGACCGTGCTGCCCGGCACGTTCATGTTACGTGTTCCGACTGTAACAGTTTGGAGGATTTAGTAGCCTGGTATATTACACAGTTTTAGCGGCATATATACACATATGGTTGGTGTTTAACAAAAAGGGGTGTTATAGTCTGTGTTGTAGTGTGTGATATTGGTATTTATGGAAACATTTTACACCTTTCCTTCAAGTATTATACGTTTGTGTTACTTGTGGGGTACTTAACATGAATAGTCACAGTTACTATCCTTTTACTCCATCACATTTAAAAGAGAAATAGGCTATTGTTATTTTAACTCCACCACCTTCAGCTTTACTTTTTAGATAAGATTTAACTCACAATTGATCATAACAGGCTTCAACATACATACATTTTTATATATTAAGTGTATATATATATTAAATTATATAAGTGGTTTCATGTACAACCCACACAAGTATTATGCTAAATCAAGCTCTGTTGCTTGGATATCACTAGATCCTGTTATCAGCGTAATATAAAAGTACATAACGATTGATGTGTAACTTAGCATTAATTACTAGCTAGCTGCTAACTGCCGCGACCGCCTCGTTAATATCAAATCCATCATAACAATCCAGTACCATGCTGTCATGAACACCATGGTACATGGTACAGCGTGCTGTTACGTGTACGCAAATTGACGTGCTTAATGTGAACGAGTCTTTTAGGGGGCGTGGTTAAAGTTGCGCATGCTCTATGAGCGCACATACGGGTACTTCTCAGGCATGACGGGTAATCTGTGACGTTTCGCTCTCTCAAAAGTTGGCCCATTTTATCTTCATGAGCCAATGAGCAGCTCTCATAAGAATGAATGCGGCCCGCCTCCCACACTGTATCCAGTTCTTATTATACATCCATGGTGGGTGTCACTACCCGATCTGCAGCCCTGCCCGATCTGCAGTGCGCATGTGCGAGATGGTCCGCCATATTGGACAACTCTGGACACTTGACACAGTGGCTTTTGGCAAAGCTCAAAAAGAAAACTCGAGAGAGATGAGTTATTGTTATTACAACGTGACTTCACTATTATTTAACAACTCTTTTTATTGGGTTCTTTTATTTGGGGTTAAGTACATTGTCAGAATAAGTGAGAAATGAATTTAACTTATGTTAGACAGCTATCATACTGAATAAATATTTACTGTGAATGTATGCAAACAAGTATGGTATATAGCTGTCTAACAGAAGTTAAATTCATTTCTCACTTATTCTGACAATGTACTTATTACGTTCCCTACTGGGCTAGGGGAACCAAAGGGAAGCAACACAAACCAGAATGGAATTTGGTAAAAGTTATAAGTGGTTTTATTATAACTATAGTCGTGGAACAAAATAATAAGGCATATAGCTTGGCACAAACAAAGGGCCAAATACTGTCGCCTAATAGTCAACAAAAGGAGAACTCCAAAAGAGAGTTATGTAGGTAGTACACGTCAGAGAATAATACACAAAAGGAAAACAAAACCTCACTTCTAAAGTGGTATAAATAACGAAAAGGGCTGTGCAAAAATACAGCTGCTTGTAATCAACAGGCGCTAACCGCTAAGCTAACCTGGATTCTACTCACACAATTGATACGGCAATATCTTACGAAATACAGAAGCACAGATTTAACACGCTGTTAAACAGTATCACTTTAACACACAACACCACAGCATTACGTCAACCAACAAGTAAATACACCACGAGGCTAGAGGCGTCTGTCCCACATCACAGAGCCTCCCGAATGATCTCCGTCCCCGGCCTTTGTACTCCTCCCCCGGAAGATGTGCCGGAAGCCGGCAGGGATTGGATGACGTCGATCCAATCACCTCTTCGGATGATACGAGGGCGGGACAGCCAATAACATCGTGGCAACCTTACAGCTCATTTGCATACACACACACACACACAACAGAGTTAAGAGGACCAGGAAGGCAGCAGCCGTAACAGTACTTAACCCCAAATAAAAGAACCCAATAAAAAGAGTTGTTAAATAATAGTGAAGTCACCCGATCGGCAGCTCTGCCCGATAACAATAACTCATCTCTCTCGCGTTTTCTTTTTGAGCTTTGCCAATGCCACTGTGTCAAGTGTCCTACTTGGGTTGCCGTCCGGAGTTGTCCAATATGGCGGACCATCTCCCACATGCGCACTGCAGATCGGGCAGAGCTGCCGATCGGGTAGTGACAGTGGGCAGTCGGCCAAAGGCTGTCGGCAAAAGAAATCACTCTGATTGGCTGTTCAGCTAGCGAATCAGTGCATGAGAAGCGAAACGGAAGTGAGGGACCCAAACAAACTATTAAGAAGGCAAATCTGAGATTTCATTGAACTCCAGCTCTCGACACAGGTTCGGGAAAGCCCCATGAGCTCCTCGTTGTAGAGTGAAAATGGAACGCACACGCTATTTGTTGTTTGTTTATATCACGCAGTCTGTTCTTCTTCTCTCGGTTATCACGCAGTCTGTCTTCCGGTTGTTGCCTCTTTTGAATGGTGAATACACACTACCGCCGCCTACTGGTAAGGAGAGTTATTGCCACTCACGCATGCAGAGTTCGTACGTGCAACTTGGCCGTCGGCTGAAGTCTTTGCGGTGTGTTCCAGTGCGACACATGGCGGAGACGCAGAGACGCGAGGCGACGCAACAGTCGGGGTCCGTCTGTGTCAGTTCTTTGGTGTCAGCTTTGTGTGTCCGGGCCTTAACAGCTTATTTAGGTACATTTAGTCTTTGTGGGCCAAGTTTGAACTATTTTAAACTCATTCAGTTTTCTGACAATAGAAAAAAAAACTAGAACAACGATATAGTGAATTTGGCAGATAGCAGGAGGTGTAACAGGCTGTCTCTTCAGTGTTTGCAAAGACCAGTCACAGGGCAACTACAGCCATTTCTTCTTCTTCTTTAAATACACAAACAAACTATATGTCCATATGAACCAAGAATGCAGCACAGCTGTCCTCATTAACCTCCTGTCTGTCCACTTCAGTTAAAGAAGAGATTTCACTTTTTCATTTTGTCCATGTGTCTCACTGTTAGATGGGGGCTCGACCAATTAATATAGAAAAGCTGATGTTGACGCAAATAATTTGAACACTCAAAACAGTCGCTACATTTAAACGGGTAGCACAAAAACCCCTTGTTGTGTTAATAACCTCAGATAATCATGAGGTCTTTTGAATGCACGCTCTTCAACCCTTTAGATAATCCTTCCAGTGTTTGTGTTTTCGTGGCCAAAATAGCAGCCAGCAGGCACTTAAGATGTACTGGTTCATTAAATGAAATAATCAATGGTTGTTAAGCGCTGAATGTCCCACTGTAACCTCCTTCAATAGATCATCTGTATTGATTATCTGATTGTAGAGGTGTCGGCAGCGTGTTGCTTTAAATGACATTTCAATGATTAAGAGGACAGACAGATAGTTTGAATAACACATGCTGGTGTGTGTGTGTGTGTGTGTGTGTGTGTGTGTGCAGGTTTGAGAGCGCGGTGCACATCAGTAAGCTGCAGGACCTGGTGAACCGCAGTAAGCTGGCCCGCTGCAGAGGGAGGTTCGTCTGTCCGGTCATCCTCTACAACGGCAAGGTACTGCTGTCCTCACGCAGTGTTCCTGCTGCCGATTACTATAATCATTATATAGTGTATGAGGGCTGCACAATTAACTGAAATTGAAAGTGTAGTAGTCAAATTGCGGAAGGCGCAATATTTGTATAGGCAAAATATATGTGTAAATATTATTCAAAATGAAAGATTCTGGAGCTGCAGAGTCCCGGCCTACAAATCTTATTCCACAGACTTCCTTAAATATCTTTAATTGGTACAGATCCTATTGAAAAGTAAAATAATTATGAATTATATTTAAAATAATTATGCAAAAATGATCAACCCCTGTGTATCGTTAATCATATTGCAATTGTAAGTTCAATGTAAAAACATTACGTGTGTGACAATTTTTCACTTTAATTTTTTCTGCTGCAACCCAAGTGTAACTTGCAACCCTTTTTATGGCTCCTAAGGCCATCACAAGATCAAATAAAAACATATTTAAAGTGTTAAACTGGCGTGTTTTCATATCTTATAATCCCCTAGTGTACATTACAGCCTGTGAGAATGTTAGCGTATGGCTCAAGAATCCGACACAGATAAAGGAATATATGAGGATATAAAAAGTGCGGCACTGAAATATGAATAGTAACCTATTTACTGTTTTTAATGATGTTCTTTTGATTTGCCTAACTAAGAAAAAACTTCCAGTGTCCTTGCTTCTCATGTTGAAATGAGCATATTTTCCCTTCCTCTGTTCTGTATGATTAGGCGACACGATGTAAATTATTGTAACAACATGCTAGTATGTGTCATACAGTCAGTAAATATTGTTCTTTCTGCAGCATATCTGCCGGTCGTCCACTCTGGCAGGATGGGGGGAACTGTATGGACGCACAGGCTACAACTACATCTTCTCAGGTACACATGCATATACAATGTTTAAATTAAGATTAGCCTAAGCAGAAGAAGTTATAATACATATTTTCCATGGGGGAAGTTGCAGTTCCTCTTGTGCTTTCTGAAGCTGCAGCTGCTGTCAAACCCATAAAGAACACGCATAAAGAATTGTGTCTTTCAGCCACATACTGTAGTATTAAATATAATGACAACAGAAATAAACCAAACATTGACTTTGAAAGATTGTCTCTCTTCCCCCCTCTGTCATTCAGAAATGTAAAACGCCATAGTATGTCCATTTGTGGTTAAGGAGCTAAAATACGGTTCTTTTAAAGTATCACTTATTTGTTTGAGTTTTCGGCCATAATTTCCATCTTTTTCAAAAACAGTATTCTGGGAATGCTTTGATATCAGACACAGAGGGGGTCAAACAATCAGACACTTATCAAAACTTGAAAACTGGAAAAATAAACTTAATACCATCCCCCACATTTCTGTCAAAATGGTGCTAACAGACCAGGGTTTCACTTTGGACCTGTAATACAAAGTAAGTAAGGGATATTACTGACTTTTCAGGTGCACTCACTTTCAGTGTGACCTCGAGTAACTCGGTTTAGATCAACTAAACATCACAAAACAGTAAAAAGGCCAGTCAAGATATCCTAGAAAACATGGAAACATCATTACATTGTTGGTTTAACCAACAGTCCAACAACCAAAACATTCAAGTCACTCGTATGTAATGCCAAAAAAAGCAAAACAATATTAGATTTAAGAACAGGAACCATCAGATGACTAACATCCTGAGTCAGCTGTCGGGTCTTCTCACCGAACGGTTGGCTGAGTTTGAAACTGCTCGTGTTTCTGAGGGACTTGTTACATTGTGGTAAGCCCTCAGCAGTTACTCCGATGATCAGTAGATGGGTATGGAAAAAGCAACGGAAATAGGTTTCATTAGTTGGCACAGAGCAGTGAGCATCCACTTATTTTAGTCGTTGCTAGTTTCAAAAGGCTTTAAACTCATCATATCTGGGGTTAATCCAGATAATAGACCTGTTGAATGTCAGAAGTCCAGCTCCTTGTCTTTAGGTGAACAGACCATCTGGATTTCCTTTCTGTAATACTTCGGACATGGCCATTTTGGCTAATCAAGTTGGAAGAGGAAGATTGCAGACCTAGTTTCTCTCTGGGCTTGTATATGACTTTCCTTCATTTGGCAGATGCATTTGTCTAAACACTCTCCATAAGTGCATTCAAGTTTCATAAGAACAATAGCTCAATGTCAGAAGTGCATCCTTCGCTTACAAAACTCCTTAAGAGTGTGCAGAGTGAGTCAGTGAAACCAGAACACACAGCCCTGGTGGACGAGGATCAGTTATGCACATATACTGAAGAGGATTACTATATTCCAAGTGATCAAAACATATATTTGATGTAAGAGCCTCTGCCTGTTTTCAGCACATTAGGTCCCCCATTACCTACCTTTTTGAAGTTGCCTAGCATAGCTGTGAATGGTATTATGTTTAAAGACTGAACTTGTTTTGACCCTAAAACAACCAAGACATCTCAATCTATTTGAAAATAAATTCATTAGGGCTGCACAACTGATCAAAATGTTGCAATATGGATGACTGCAATATTCAAATTGCAGGAGGTGCAATATTTGTTACAGGCAAAATACTGTTAGTGTAAATACAATTCTGAATCAAGGATTGTGGTGCTACATGTCCCGGCCTCAAATCCTGTTCTATGCACCTCAAATATCTTTGTTTGATACAGATATTTAGAAAATCCAACTGTGATCCAAGTTTTATATATATATTAAACACATTGAGGATATTGACGCAAAAACATCCAACCCCTCAAATATCATGAATATATTTGCAATTGCTGTCATTCAAAATAATCACAATTGGTTATTTTTTTCAAATCGTGCAGCCCTAACAATAATTGTAAGTTTGAGTGATTTACAGTTTGTGTCATTGGCTTGACTTTGACCTCCTGTATGCTTCTGTTCTTCAGGGGGCACTGATGACACGTGGACAGAGTCTGAGGAGGTCCCAGAGGATGACAGTGCAGTCAGGTAATCACATGTCTCTCTGGGAGCGAATCACTGACAACAAAAACCAGCCCGATGAATGCTGCCGGAAAGACTTCTCATCAAAGTAAGACATCTATCCAGAGAAAATCAGTTTTCTAATGAATCTTTCTCTCCTCGTATATTTCCCTCCTCCTCAGGAACGGGGACTCGCAGCTCTTTGACAAAGTCCGAGGACACGACATTAAGCTGCTACGCTACCTCTCAGTCCGCTACATCTGTGACCTGATGGTGGAGAACAAGAAGGTCAAGTTTGGCCTAAAGTAAGGAACACCACTGGCTACTCTCTCTCTGGCTGTCCCTGCCTCCTCTGCATGTTGTAGAAAGACACTTCATGACAGACTACAGACTCAGTCCCTCTGTGTTGGCTCGATGTTTCTGCACATTTAGCTTTAAATTCACACTGGCTGTATACAGTGTGCTGTGATTGTGTGTAATCTGGGATGCTTCAGATTTGCTCATTGTATCTTGCTCTGTATACAGACAGAGCTTGGTAATCATTGTTGCAGGGTTCTTGGTATTTTAAAGGCTAATCCACTGTAGCTGTTGATCAGCTGTTACATGTGGAAAATATTTAGCTGGTAGTATTGCTCACACATTTATTGACAAAAAATGTATGTCAGAAGAGCAGTGAAAATACTTGGGAAAACGAAAGAAAGATGTAAGGAATGGCGAGAAACAATAGAGGTGAAGTCCCGCCCATCTACTTCCGGTCCATGGGACCTTATTTGGGAAAAAGTATGTATTGAAGTCAATGGGGAGAGAAAACGTATCTTTCGATCCCGTTTGAATTGTGCCACGAATTGATGTTTGTCAATCTTAAAAGATCATTTCCATGTCAAAAAAGTCACAGTTTGTCGTAAAACTGTTGAAATATAAGACTATGAAAAATACGCAACGAGAAAGACTAGAAATCCCAGAGTCCCGGTCCCTCATGCAGGCTCTTACGGAACCGACTAACTCCCCTTGTGTGTATGTACAGCTCTCAACGTGCCCAGACTTGGAGTGATTTTCACCTCTTTTAATACTTTTCGCCTCATTCTGAAAGAAAGAAGTGAAATGTTCCAACGTGACGGCCATCTTGGTGTGTGGTGCGAGAACGGGAGATGTAGTTCATTGAGCGGTTCACACAAAAAAAGTGTTACTTCACCGTTTTATGACACATTTGTATTTTTTTGACTTGCAAAATTATCTTTTAAATTGGCAAACATCATTCGTGGCACAATTCAAACGGGAGAGAAAGATAAACTTTCTCTCTCCATTGACTTCAATACATAATTTTTCCGAAATGGGGTCCCATGGAGCTCCCCCGGAAAGGGAGGAACTTCGCCTCTATATATGAACATTTGACTGACCTGAAGCCCATTTAAAAACCTCAGGAATCATCAAGATACAAAGATGGATGCTCCCAAGCCATCAAACCAAGCAGAACTGCGTGCATCTTCCTCCAGGAGCAGAATAGTCTAGCCAAGTTGCACACATGAAAGCTGTGATTGTAGATCAGGTTAACCCACTAAATATTGATTTATAAACTCTTCTTTAGTTATAACAATAATATTGTGATTTTTTTTGTTTGCATTATTATTATTCAAGGTCTGAAACCAGTGGATATATTTTGGTTAGTTTACCAGTTTTTATTTTCTAAATGCCAATATTATTATTTGGAAATTTGCTGAAAAATTGTCGGTAGTTAAGAGAATAACAAAAATATAAAAAATTTGATTTTTAAATTTTGCAGTTGTCTCTTAGTTTTTCCCAACCTATACCTACAGTGGGGCAAAAAAGTATTTAGTCAGCCACCAATTGTGCAAGTTCTCCCACTTAAAGTTCGCCTGTAATTTTCATCCTAGGTATACCTCAACTATGAGAGACAAAATGAGAAGAAACAAAATCCAGAAAATCACATTGTCTGATTTTTAAAGAATTTATTTGCAAATGATGGTGGAAAATAAGTATTTGGTCAATAACAAAAGTTAATCTCAATACTTTGTTATATACCCTTTGTTGGCAATGACAGAGGTCAAACATTTTCTGTAAGTCTTCACAAGGTTTTCACAAACTGTTGCTGGTATTTTTGGCCCATTCCTCCATGCAGATCTCCTCTAGAGCAGTGATGTTTTGGGGCTGTCGCTGGGCAACACAGACTTTCAACTCCCTCCAAAGATTTTCTATGGGGCTGAGATCTGGAGACTGGCTAGGCCACTCCAGGACCTTGAAATGCTTCTTACGAAGCCACTCCTTCGTTGCCTGGGCGGTGTGTTTGGGATCATTGTCATGCTGAAAGACCCAGCCACGTTTCATCTTCAATGCCCTTGCTGATGGAAGGAGGTTGTCACTCAAAATCTCACGATACATGGCCCCATTCATTCTTTCTTTTACACGGATCAGTCGTCCTGGTCCCTTTGCAGAGAAACAGCCCCAAAGCATGATGTTTCCACCCCCATGTTTCACAGTAGGTATGGTGTTCTTTGGATGCAACTCAGCATTCTTTCTCCTCCAAACACATCTAGTTGAGTTTTTACCAAAAAGTTCTATTTTGGTTTCATCTGACCATAGGACATTCTCCCAATCCTCTTCTGGATCATCTAAATGCTCTCGAGCAAACTTCAGACGGGCCTGAACATGTACTGGCTTAAGCAGGGGGACACGTCTGGCACTGCAGGATTTGAGTCCCTGGCGGCGTAGTGTGTTACTGATGGTAGCCTTTGTTACTTTGGTCCCAGCTCTCTGCAGGTCATTGACTAGGTCCCCCCGTGTGGTTCTGGGATTTTTGCTCACTGTTCTTGTGATCATTTTGACCCCACGGGGTGAGATCTTGCGTGGAGCCCCAGATCGAGGGAGATTATCAGTGGTCTTGTATGTCTTCCATTTTCTAATAATTGCTCTCACAGTTGATTTCTTCACACCAAGCTGCTTACCTATTGCAGATTCAGTCTTCCCAGCCTGGTGCAGGTCTGCAATTTTGTTTCTGGTGTCCTTTGACAGCTCTTTGGTCTTGGCCATAGTGGAGTTTGTAGGTGACCAAATACTTATTTTACTGAGGAATTTACCAATGAATTCATTAAAGATCCTACAATGTGATTTCCTGGATTCTTTCCCCCCATTCTGTCTCTCATAGTTGAAGTGTACCCAGGATGAAGATTACAGGCCTCTCTCATCTTTTTAAGTGGGAGAACTTGCACAATTGGTGGCTGACTAAATACTTTTTTGCCCTACTGTATATGAATGACTATTTCAAGAAAACACTAACATTAAGGCTGAAACCTTAGCTCAGTGCATATGGGTTAAAATACGTATAGATTCTGCTGTAGCTTAGTAGTAGGAGTGTACAACTCATCAAAATTATATTGCAAAATAGACTAGTCCAATGTTCAAATCGCAGTAGGCACAATACTTGTTAAAGGCTAAATATGTATTTAAATACCATTTTAAATGAAGTATTGAGGAGCTGCATAGATATTGTCATGGCCTGGCTCTTGGCCATAACAAAAAGCGTGGGAAGGACAAGAATATGTATAGGAAAATGTGTTTATTTGGCAAAACTCAATGTGGCCAAAAAACAAACAAAAGGGCAAGGCAAAAAAGAATAAGCGAAAAAAGCGACGCTGCTCTCGGAGGTCCGGTCCTCTGGGGGGAGAGCGATCGAGGCTCTGGCTCAGGCCTCTTAATCCTCCGGTGCCAGCCGTCAGGTGTCCTCAATCAGTGAATCAGGTGTCCTCAATCAGTGTGGGCACAAGCAGAGGAGGAACATAAAAGGGCCATACACAACACAGGAGACCTCAAAGCAGGGGTCGTCACAATATCCAGACGTACTTAACAGAACAGATTTGTTTTGCACAGATCCTCATTAAAAAAATCACACCATGATCATTTAATGTATTTTTCAATGATGAATGAGAATATTGATGCAAAAATGGTCATGCCCTCCTATATCGTTATCATAATATCGGTCAAAAATAAACGCAATTGGTTAATTTCAAATCATGCAGACCGAATGATAAGCCATTTTGGCCTAACAAAGGTATTATATGGAAGTGTTGTCTCTTCATATACTGCAGTGCCCATGGATGCTCACCTTGTTTCTCCCCTGCAGTGTGACGTCCTCTGAGAAGGCGGACAAGGCCCAACGCTATGCAGACTTCACCCTGCTCTCTGTGCCTTACCCAGGTAAACTACCAGTCACTTCGCTCACTCACTTCACTAAAGATTGAACAATAAATTGTCCTGTCAAATACTGTTTATCAGCAGATATTAGTTTAATGCAGAGACAAATAACTTACAGTAGCTGTGTGCCAAGTAATAAGACTACTAGAAGGCCTCTATAATAAGAAAATAAAACAAATCCTGCACATTTCCACTCATACAAGAAAGGAGAAGAAATGACGTAAACTGTCAACATTGCCTCATGATCATATGATTTTAAAGAATCCAAAGCCATTGTTAAAATGACTGTCAAATGCCTTCTTTAGGAAACCAATCATATCTGACTCAACACAATTTTGAAAGACATGGAACAGGATTCATTAGAACAGTTTTGTGTGCAAAAAGTCTTCTTGCATCAGAGAAAATAGTAGTTGGCATCAGCTATACCTCAAAGTTACAAAGTAGACTGTTTATCATTTGGATTTGAAAGAACAGGGCCACATTCTGTAGCCTCAGTTTAACTCCTGACCAAGTGTGCTGAATGTGTTTCTTTTTTAGGGTGTGAGTTTTTTAAGGACTACAAAGACAGAGACTACACAGCGGAGGGTCTGGTGTTCAACTGGAATCAGGTACAGAGAGTAGAGAGTGTGTTCTCTGACTGTACTGTAGCTCGGCTCTGATTTATTCACCTGATGACTCTGTGTCTCCACTCTCAGGACTATGTGGACGCTCCTTTGACAATCCCACTGGGCTTTACTCAGAACTTGAACATTGACTGGACTCGATACCAGGTTACTCTTCTTCTAATGTGTTCACTCTGTTGCATCCACTCTACCAGCTGTGACTCACTTCTTTACTCTTGTATTTGTGGTGTGTGAGTGCCATCTGTTGTCCATCCTGTAAAGTGCTTTAGTCATGCTTCACATCCAGTAAAAGTCCCAGTGCAGAGCTTTAAACCTCACTGACTCAAACACACATTGTTCAAACCCACACAACTTGAAGTCAGCACCCCAAAAACTATCATATGTAAGGCTGAACTTTGGGGAAGTGTATACAACGATAGACGACCACAAATAACCGTTGGACTTGTGTTAGGATAAGGGCTGTCAAGTAATTAAAAGGGAATCTAATGAATTGCCGGTTTTGTGATGAATGCATCTAAATCATGCTGGCGGTGTTATTCAACAATAGGCAGTATAATAATCCATTCACAAAGCATAAAATAATATTTAAACATGCTTTTAATTTGAATAAATTATCCAAGTTAACAGGATGATTTGACAGCTCTAGTTGTAATTAGGGGTAAAACAAGCTGACAGAATATAACAGCAATTTTTCTTCTTATGTCAAAGATATTCACTTGTTTATAATTTCTTATTGATATGTTTTCATTCTATATTATATAACATTATATAATTAATTTACAAGATTCTTCCATTAAGAGTTTCTCTTCTTTTTATCACATGTATTGTCTTTTGTTTGCTTGTGCTTCTTTCAGTCGTGGGACCTGGTGGAGCAGACCCAGAACTACCTGAAGATGCTGCTCCACATCATCAACAGTGATGGTGGGTACTGTTTCTGATGTAGTATCAGCTTTAGGATTGTAACTGTCATGGGATAAAAATGAGAACATTTGAACTAATGCATGATTTCATTATTTTTTTCTTCTATAGATCATTAGTTAAGACAATGAATAATAAAAGCCACATTTTAAGCGAGCAGAAACTAAAGTAAGGCCTTAAAATCCTTCCTTTAACAATCTTATTTAAGTCATTCTATGATAATGAACTAAATGTCAGTAGTTTCTGGTATGTTGCTCTGAAATAAGAATCAATTTGAAAATGTAGCCTAGGGTTCTGCTAAACTGTAATGGGTTTTTTAACAACAAAATGTTTAGTCCATCAGTCGAGCAAATAATCATTAGTTGTAGCCACATCATTGGAAGTGTATGGTTATGTTTCCTTTAATGCAGCTCTTTAAAATGTTTGGGGATTGCTTTGGCCGAGAGCTAATAAATACCTTAAGAAAGTGGTTCTCAAACTTTTTCTGTCAGGCCCCCCCTTTGGAGAAAAAAATAAGTCGGACCCCCGCAACACAAATAGTCAGGCTCAGTGGCGGCGCTAGATATTTAATTTGGGGTGCTGTGGGGTAGCTTGACGTTTCATAGAGGGTGCTCAAACATTTAGGGTTTCCCATTAATGTACCGGTCGCTACAGTGGAATGTTCTACTGCAACACTCCCCACGCAAATACACAGTGTGACAGTTACAATGAAGGCCCGAGGCATATAGGTGTAAGCAGGGGTAAAGTGCTATTTTTATAGGTGGTGTGTGGACCTAACATAGGGGGGGTCCGGGGGCAAGCTCCACCGGGAAGATTTATTTTTAAATATTGAAGTTAAAAGCATCAATCTGGTGCACTTTGAGAGCAAAATGAAGAGATCTATGGATACATCTCTCAACACCCAGATGAAACAGAACTGTAAACAGATTTACTTTTTCTTTATGGATATTTTACAAATCACCCTTTTAAACTTTATTCTTGCTTTAATGTCATAGTATTTCATACCTGTTTTTAATTTATTCTCTTATTTTTTTATACCTATAATGATCATATAAACGTGTGCCTCGGAAATAATTGTTTACATTAATCGTGACCAAAAAGTTTGAGACCCACTGAGATAACTTAGACTAAAGTTAACTATCTAAACACTCAGAGAGCCCTTTAGTTAACTGAGTCTCTCAGTCTGACAGGAGAGGACTCTCCTCCACTTTGTTGTTGAAAAAACTCTTTATATCTGTTAGCGTAGCTCGCTAGCACCAGAAGCTAACAACTACGATCTCCGGTACTGGTGCGCTCTCTCTCTCTCTTGCGCACGCACACAAAATGGCTCGTTCCACACACACAGAGCCGAGCTTTAATGAAACGCAGAGACCCAGACGTAATAGTACTGTATCATATTATTTTAGAAGCAATAATTTTTGAAATTATGATTTCTTTTTTTTTAATCTTTTAAAAAAAAAATTGTAATAACCATTTTTCCTCCTGGTCTCTCGCGCGCCACCCTGTCATGCCTCTGCGCCCACCACTTTGGGAACCACTACCTTAAGAAGATGGGCGCATTCTAGAATAAACTAGAAAATGCATTTCCTGCTGAAAATGCGTGCGAATGCTGTAAACTGTGTACATTTGATGCTGAATTTAGCTGAAAAAGCAGAATATTGTATTAGCTGAATGGTAGCTGCTTTTAACTACATAAACCAAGTATGTGTGTTGCTGAACTTAGCGGAGAAAAGCAGAAAAGTGAAATGATTTGAATCAAATTGTTACAGCTCAAATGCATTGCAATGACTTTGTCGAAAACTTGAAAGTGAAATGTTAAACTGGAAGAGGAGGAAAAATAGTGAAGAAGCTTAATATAGAAAAGAAAAGGTTTAAAAAAGGTATAAACAACAAAATGTATAGCCTCAATGTCCTGAAATAGCTGAATAAGTTAATAGGAGTTAAATATTAAATGTAAGTAGTAGTGAATGAATGTGTATTAAGAAGAGAAAGAAATATCAGAATATTTTAACTGCAAACTTTTGAACTAAAACCAAACGTCACCAATAATGTATAAAATATGTGGAACGTGTTGAAGTCAGTATGAAGTCTCCATCAGACAGAAAATAATATGCTGAGACAGTCTTTAAACTCCAGTCTTTGTGTTTGAGGTGACAACGTTATCAAACACCTGTGTGTGTGTGTGTGTAAGCCCAGAGATCATAGGTTACCATGGTGACAACGTTATCAAACACCTGTGTACGTGAGCCCAGAGATCAAAGATTTCCATGGAGATGTGCTGTGAAAGGAGAGCCTTTCCATTGTTCTGAATGAGAAATAAACCTCTTACATTTCTAACTATAGTTTTAAAAACAGTAGCTGCTTTCGGTAAAATGTCAACGCGTGAAGCATGTCAAGGACCCTGAGCGTCTGAAGTGTGCTTTTTGTGTACTTTCGGGTCAATAATGGGGCATCTTTGGCAGATTTACTAAAGGTGTGCAGCTGGTGCTGTGAGGAAAGATCACGCTGAATTTACAATGGGCCTTAATGGAGACATGTTGAAAGTTTTTGTCACTTCATGCCCTCAAGAGGCATTTTGTTTAATTTTTCAACGTAGGAGAGGTTTTCCTATGTTTTTCAAGAAAAATGATGTCCAAGGAGTGTAGGGTTTGGGAGTTATGGCAGGTTTAAAACGTTTTTTTTCAAGCTCTCCTCCACTCTGTTTTGAGATCAAAGCACTCTAGACTTAACGAGCTGCACACTAATGTTAAAATCTGAAGAAGGCCTCTCTACCGAGCTCCAAACTAAGTTAAATATTTCAAAAAGTTTAAATGTCATAAACAAGAAAAGTCATAGCACTGTCCTGAAGGAGCTGAACATTCTAATATTTGAATGGTTTCTGTAGCTCAAAGTATGTGGAAGGAGTAGCGTTTGGCGCACGGTGTAGGTAAAAGAGGATTTGAAGGTTCCTCCCATTGAGTTACATGTTAAAAGAGTTTAAAAAGCTGAATATTTCAAAAAGTATAACATATTTTGAAAAAGTTGAAAGTTTCCCATCATGTGCTGAAAAGGCTGAATATTTTTGATATTTGAATGGTTTCTGTAGCTGAAAGTATGCTGAAGTTATTCAACGGCAAAATATTGGTTGAAATAATAATAATAAGAAGAAGATGATTAAAGAAACGGAAGAACTATAGTGGAATGCTGTTGCACAGCTTTCGCACTAATGACGGTCTGATGTTTAACATCAGTCTTTCAATAAGTCTTAAAAAGGCTTTGGACTTAGGAAGGAGGATTTTATGAAACTTTCTTTAGTAATATTGTAATATCAAATCTCAAAATAGTTGATAACATGTATTTTCTGAAAATAATTAACCAAATGCGCCTGCCTCTAACGCCACGCAGATCTGCATAGCGGGAAAACAGCTTGTGGAATTGTTCTTGGTTCATTGTTCACAGTGACATCAAAAAGTATTTAAAAAGAGGCCCTATTCTGCTTTTTGAGGTTTTCCCTCCTGTGGTGTGTTCTATAGGTTTTTGTGCATGTAAATGGTCTGTAAAGGCTAAAGACCTTGTGTTCCCGTATCTCCCACACTCTTCCCCCAACCTAGGAATGATGAATAAATGAACTGATAAATCAGTGCAAATTATACATATATAATACTATAACCCATGAAAATGTAACAGTAAGTCTGTTTTTAAAGTATCTTTATTAAATGAGGATAGTAACATGCAAACATAATGAATGTTATGAAAACCAACCATGAACTGCATAAAGAGTGAGGAAAGAAGCAACACTAATAAGAGCCAAAACTTAACAATTGCACTCACACAGAGCACTCCTATAATGTCCATGTCCACTCCACTTGAGTGTCTATTGTAAAGCTTCATGATGATGCTGCTGGTGTTTGAAGTGCCGCTGTGTGTTTCAGATGAGAGCGGCCTCCTGGTGCACTGCATATCAGGCTGGGACCGGACACCTCTGTTTGTGTCCCTGCTCAGGCTCTCCCTGTGGGCAGTAAGTCCTCCTTCTGTCTTTTCATCTCTTCATTCTCCCCCGGTGTCACCCAGCAGCTCCAACAGTCAGTGACAGAACCCCCCCCTCCTCATTCACTCCTCTTCACATGCAACTAGTTTACCATTTCAAACATGCGCTTTAATTAGCCTCCTCTGTATTCATCTTTATTAAAAATAGAACCCTTGTGTCATAAATATTGAATGCCTTTCTGGAGACGGGTCCGTACTTGGATCTTCTGATGAAACCGCAGACCACATACGGAGTCCTTTTCACACAGAATAATAACTGCAGTTTGCTTGTCGGAGCTGCATGTGCATGATTGGCTCCTGGGGTTTGATTTTAAGATGTTTGAGACTTTGGCTCATTGTCGTCATGTTATTTCCACAGGATGGCGCGGTGCACGCCAGCCTGCAGCCGGCAGAGATCCTGTATCTGACCATCGCTTACGACTGGTTCCTCTTCGGGTAAAATAGTCATTTACAATAACACTATCATCATTTCATGAGTTCATGGTGAGCCATAAGTCGGCGCATTAGCTGCTATAAATACTTTAGAGGTGCATTTGCAACTATCTGTGACGTCCGTTTATTTTCTGTAACGCATCATTGGAAAGAGGTTAATGGAGCAGTGAGAGAGGGAGGGGGGGACAACATGAGACATTAAGACGACTCTGGCTTATCTTTTATCTTCACACTCGCACACACAACCACCCTCTCTTGGGCTTCTCCGTTCATAATTAATGGTGTGATATGACCAATTAGAGCTCATCTGAGGCAGTCTTGTAGAAAGCCCTCTCTGCCATCTCGACCATGCAGTGATATATCCGAGGCTGGCCCCTGGAGACATTTGTACAGCAGAAGGTGTGTAAGAGAGTTGAAGTGAGCGCTCTTCTCCTCATCAGTCACAACTGAATCATATTTGAAAGCCAGGTGTAGTCCAATACTTTTGTTGCCCATAAATACGTTCTGTGGCACCGAATATCTGTAATCACTCAAGAGAGTGTAGCAGATTCTGCACGGGCACTTTCTGAACAATTCATTTGATCAGCAGTGTTACGGAGAAAAAAAACAAGATTTGTAAACAAGTTCAAAATATAGGGAAAAGTAACTTCAATAAAAACCAACTGAGTTGTGATAGTCAGGACAGCAAAGAGAGATGGCTTCCTTCCACTCAGTTCCTTTACATATGGGAAATGAGGGCAGTGCCTCACCAAAAGGAGCAAAGAGGAGAGGAGACAGAACACAAGAAAGAGGAAGCGTGTACCAAGTAGTCTAATGATAAAGAGGAACAAATACATCTTGTTTCTATAATTCCCTTAAGCACACCCAGTGATCTCCTTGACTAATGCCTTGAGTGGCTGAAACAAAGGGTTAGTCCTCCTCAATACATTTTTTTTTCAATTTCTTTCAGAGAGTTTTGATTTACATGCTGACGTTTAAAGATACCAACTTCTGAGACCTGCTTTGCCGCCCCAATATTCTACCAATACTCTGAACAATTATATTAGAAAAAGTGTTGCATTTAACAAGGGCACGTCACTCTGGGCACCACAGAGGAGTCACACTTACTGGAACTATTCCTTACTATACCCTACCTAACCCTAACCCTCTACTATTACAGGTTTCATTTCAAAGATTCATTCATGTTTGAACGTTATGCATGCATCATCGCCTGCACAACATGGGGTGGTGTTTTTCACCTGGATAAGATGCAGCTGGAATATAACACAGAACATTTTCCTCTCTCTATTTCCAGTCATATGCTGCCAGATCGACTCTCCAAAGGGGAGGAGGTACGTTTATCCAAATAATGTTTGGGTTCTGCTTATAAAGCTTGTATTTACAGAAAGAATACTGGCAGAAACACAGAAATATTAGTACCACAACTTTCAAAAGTATTCTTTGCATGTTAACAAACATTTGTCATCAGTCAGTTTTTGAAGACAGGAAGTTATGATAGAGATATTATGTCATTAGCATATGTCAGCACAAATGAAATGGATAGGCAAAAACAATGTGATCCCTTGGTTTGAAATTCCAAATAAGTGTCTCAGAACAGTGTTCATATAGAGTTCATTTGTTCTTGTCAAACACTGTAATTAGCTGTTAAAGGAAACCCAGTTAAGCTGTGAGCTAACTCTACAGGAAGTTACAGCTTTAAGGTTGAAGTGTTGTCATCTCTTCAAAGGGCAGCCAGAAAAAGGGTTGCCTCTTGAAAGAAAGGCAGGAGGCAGTAGATGCTAACATGCTCTCATAGCAGAGCTGTTTTTCCTTTGTATTTTCACCAAGAGTCACATTTCACAGTTATTGTGGCTGATGGTGACTGAAAATAGTTTCCATTGTATATGACCTGCACTAACAGCTTCAGAAGAAAATAAGGAATGACTGTGAACTACTGTTATTGTTTCTGTGGTTTTACTATTTATAGCTATGTGTTTGATTTAAATTAGTATTTGTTTTTGTTTTTTTAAATAATAATAATTCAGTCAACAACATTTTCTGCCCAACAGACCAATGATTGGCTGACTTATCTCATGGCCTGGCATGCATGTCAGTCTCGAAGTAACAAGATATTTCACTACAGAAGTTTAAGATATGACACCATCCACAGTTCGCCCACCACAGGGCCCTTGCTGATTTATTTTACACGTTAGATGTCCTGTTGTAAAATGTGTGTTTGCAATTCTGCAAAAAAATCAAATAAATACAGGAGATCCATAACATAACCATATAGTGATGTGTTTATGTCAAATAAAAAAATCAATATATCATATTCTTCAGTACTATCCCCTAATGTTGGTCTAAAGAGTCTAGTATTAGTCAGACTAAATGTACAGGAACACCAGAGGTTATTCAACAACAATTAACATAACAAACAATAGCTTTTTTAATAGTCATTTTATATCAATAGCCCATAATCACTGAGGGAGAAATCTATCAGTGGAAGAAATGTCAACATCTTAACCAAGAGTCGTCTCCGTAGAACAATGACTACAACTAGTCATCTTGTTGGTATACATTACATTTCATTTCATTTAGCTGACGCTTTCATCCAAAGCGACTTACAATGACCGATTACAGGGACATTCTCCCTGGAGTAACTAAGGGCTAGTGAGGGCACCTCACTATCCATTAGACCACCACTACCGTCTTATAGGTACAAGTATCACGCTTTTGCTAATTGTGGGAACTTCTATCTTAAGGGATTCACTTCTGTTTCCCTTCTGATCCAACATGTTTTTTCTCCCTCAGATTTTCTTCTTTTGCTTCAATTTTTTGAAGCACATTGTCTCAGAGAAGTTCTCAGCTGTTAAGAAACAGAGGTGGGTTCATTACTCTTCATGTGTACATAATCTGTTGTGAAACTCAGTGAAGATCCAGTTTCTGTACACACACATCATCTGTTGGATTCCACTCTAGTGTTATATCTCTACTTCTGATCTCTAATATTATTTGATCCTTTTTTCTGACAGAAGGAAGAACTCCCACTTCAAAGACAGTGATTTCACTGTGGAAGATCTCGGCCAGTTAAGTAAGTCAGTGTGTCTCCGCCATTCCTCTCAGCCGCCATTCAACAAATGATATTGTATTTTAATAATGTTTAAATGGAGTAGAGTGTCTTTCTTTGTTTGGTCAACTAGGTGCTCAGGTAGCAGTATAACAGAGAGCCTTCCTTTCCAGCTCCATACATGTGTCCTTATAAGTTACATACATGTGTCCTTATAAGTTACAAACGGGAGGAAAACTGTTAAATTCGTCATTATGTTTTATCTCCAATCCGAATTATAGCATCTCATTATTTTTTGTTGAGAAACTTGAGGCAGCATTAGGAGCTCCTGCCACCTTCCTCCTGTCTGATGCAATGAGGAATAACAGAGGGCTGCGAGCAGAGCGTGTCGGCCGGAGACAAAGCAATGAGTCTCTGGGGATAACACAGCCTTCGTCTATTTACAAAACCACAGGCTTAAGTCCAAAACGTCTTGCGTCACAAACCTTTATTCCCTAAGACTTTTAACCTGCAAAGGAGTCTTGTATTTACATCAGTATCCAGCTTTATGTCACAACAAGAAGTGGCTTTAGATTTCTGTTGTAAACCACTTCTGGTGGAACTGGTTCCTCTCTGTTCTGCATTTCATTCAGAATTTCTGACCTTATTTAGAAAGAACAAATAGACTCCACTACAGTAGTTCCTGTTAAAAAAGCATTGATTAATATATACAGAATCAACTATAGACCCTATGAAATATCTAGAAGTGTTGCATCATGGGTAGTCAAGTCATCTTAACTTGGTTCATGTTTTTTTTCTAGATAAAGTATAGAATTGACAGTCTCTCATCTGGGAGAGATGCGCACGCAGACAGTCCCGCAGCACCCCCCGCTGCTCCTTTGTAATCTGTCATTGTTCTTAGTCCCGCCCACATGTTCCGGGTGTTACAACCTTTGAAGTCAGACTGCACTTTTTCTCTGTACTGTCTCTTTGCACTGCTGATAGCTCTCCGGAGTTCATACCTGGACTTCTTGTACTCCCCCAAATCTCCACCTCTGTGGATTTACGAAAGGGGTTTCTAACGTCTGTGACAGAACCTGAATGTTCTGCTTTCCCTTCAGCTCCTGTTCTGATTAAAATGTGCACGTGTTGATTTATGAATGAACTGACTGCCCTGCTGTGTGTTTACTTCAGAGTCGAGGGACCGCGGCAGTGTGACCAGTCTGAGCAGTGACTTCTCCCTCATCACTGAGGAGGGGGGCGGAGCCTCCAGCCTCAACCCCGACACCGTGGACCTGTTCTCCAGCCAGCCCCAGGCCTCCAGCTGGTCAGTATAGGCTCACAAAATGTATTTTTTGTTTCGTTGGATCCAGGAGGATATCAAAAGTGCAGCCAAATGAGAGACACAAAAAGCCCAGGGATGATGGTCCAGCCGCCGCTGAGTTATTAAAGTACAGGACATAAGTGCATACATATAAAGAGAAAGAGCAATAGGAGAAGAGAGCTGTTAGTCCCCGACAGTCTAAGCCTAAAGCAGCTTAACTAGGAACTGGTCCAAGGCAAGCCTGAGCCAGCCCTAACTATAAGCTTTATCTGAGAGGAAGGTCGTCAGCCTGCTCTTAAATGTAAGCCCGTGTTAAGGCACTGTGGTTATTCAACTGCCAGTGAGGCGATGAAATGCAATCAAAGTCCAGTTTGAGCAACAGATCTGTGAGTTTAAAGGGAAAACAGCATCACAGTGCCAATCACTGGCCAAGTTCCAATGTCCATACTGAAGGACTCGCAGTCTTGAACAAACTCTCTGCTACTCCAGGAATGTGCACTTTCCAACATAGTGTGTTGAATGACATCGTAGCAAAATCCGCCAGGTTCATTATTGTTTCCCCAGATGTAGTGGTCGCATTTGAGTGAAAAACAAGTTTGAACAATTTAACAGATATTTCCTTTCAGAACAGCCAAAATTAACATTGATCTATTTAAAGCACTTTTTTATGATTTCTTCATTTGAGTTTTATCATTTGAAATGTCATCACTAGCTGCTGCTCCACTGTCATGCTAATGTGTGTTTCCCTCCCCAGGAGAAAAGGCCCCACCTCCTCCCCTCAGATGGTGGTTTGGAATAAACCCACCCCTCCTGACGAGCATCTCTCCCATCCTCTCAGTGAGGCCAGGTCTTCCAGCTCTTCCTCCTCCAACCAATCAGAACACGCCATCACACGCACTGGCAGCAGCCCACTGGCTGTCCCTGGAAGAAGGTCAGTGAGTCTATACAACTCAGCCCTTTAAAGTGTAGTGTTCAGCAATGTTGGTTGATCACCAGAGGCACAGTGTTCTACCTCGCTGCAGTTCAGCAAGCGTTCACACACAGGTGGAGGCAGGCTGTTGCCGAACCAGAGATATTATAACCTGTGTGGGTGGGACTAGTTTGTGGAGTTTTGGGGAGTTATTCACCCGTGTCCAAGTGCTCAACCAAAGCGTGTGTTTTTGTCAAGGTAACAACACTTGGTCCTCTAACAAAAAACCAATGAGCAAAAAAAACGCCTCCAAATGAAACTGCTGCTGCGGCACCAGGAAGCAAATCATGCGCAGGGATTAAATCCAATGATGTTCAGTTTTGACAAAAACCTGACAGAAAACAATGGCTTTTACCTCCTCTCTTTCCCTGGTATAAAAAGATCTGCCTGCGCAATCACTCCTCCACCTGTCTCCATAAATATCAAACCTCCCTGTGCTGGAAGCTGCCTTCAAAATACAAGTCTGTGTCCTTCTGTCTTTAATTCTTTGACCTCGTTGTCTCTCAGGTTGGCCGCAGACTACCCTCGGTCCGGCTCCTCCCTCTCCACGGAGTACGGCAGTTGGCAGATAGTTTCTGGTTGTGGCAGCATCCATGACCACGCTCACTTCCCCCCCCCTCTGACCTCAGCCTCCTCCACCTCGTCTGCTGTGGCTGCTCCCTACGACTCCCCCCTGCCCTTCAGTTTTCAGGATGAAGGACCTAGTGGACGAATGTAAGTAACACACACCTGTCCAGCTAGGCTTTCTTTTACAATGCTGTTAGAAAAGGTAGGTCAGTTTAACGCAGGGGTGGGCAAACTTTTTGGCTCGGGGGCCACTATGAGTTTTAACATTTGACAGACGGGCCGGGCCAGTAGCAGATCGGTGAAAAAATATTTAGCTGTCCACTCCTCATTATACACTCATTGTCCACTTTTCTTTTCTTTGGTCCACTCAGTGTTACAGATGCAGGTTCAAAGGTGAATTAGGTTCAAAGGTGAATGATTTTTTGCGTCATCGTTTGCGTCATGACGTAACCGTTTACGTGCCTTCTTATGACCCACACAGCGTTTTACGTCACTGATTTTCTCTGAAACACCGCTCACAACAACATCAATAGAGGACTGCGTCGGGTCGTTTTTAATCAAACGAAGCCAGATTAAATAAAATAACTACTTCTCCAACCTTATACCTTTCTCCAGAGTGCCGTGGTTCATTGTTTATTAATGTGGTTCAGCGGCATTACCGCCCGCTGCAGTGCTGCTCGTCTACCGGAGTGTATTCTCCCGTTATCTCCGGGTTAGCTCACACGGCAGCGGCCGCTGTAAAGTATTCACTGTTCACAAGCAGCTGATACATATCCCCAATTCCCCATAAGTGAATGTGTTTCAGTCTGAATTGACGCTGTTTGGCATCACAACGCTGTTATGAAAGTTTCTCTGGCATTCTCTGGCATTTGCTCCTGTGGGTAATGTCCACAGTAATGACTCTTACATGTCTAATATGTGTAATGTGTACTTGTAAAGCGCTTTGAGCACCTGTAAAAGCGCTCTAATAAAAAATGTAATGCATTATTATTATTATTATTATTATTATTATTATTATTATTCTACAGGTGATGTTAACATAGCAACCGAAGCTAATCAGACTATCTTGACTACTTGTTGCTATCATATTGTGGCATAAGCCGTTTTCTACACGCATATTTTACCGGCATAGTTTTCGTTATGATTTTACTTGTGATAGCCACATGTAGCCCATGTATTGATTCCATCCGATGGCTACAATAATACAGTGAACGGATGGTTATTAAAGTAAGGTCAAATAAACAGAATCACACTCAGCCTGGTTAGTGTTGCCTGACTTTATATAAGTGTTTTTTATAAGTGTGTGTTCGCGTTCTAGTCACTTTGCTCAGCGCTACTGCTTGTTACAACTTGTATTCACTGTACTCGCCATGAACTGTTATTGCTCAGGTTAATCTCGACCTCCTCCAATGTAAGCGTGACGTCTTTGATCTTGCCGGGTTGCCGTGTGGGACCAGACTCCAGCAAAGGTCAATTGTGTCTAGAGTGCGCCATCTAGTGGGATCAACTGAAATGCCGGGTATTGCAGGAAAAAGGCAAAATTAATGCGGTCTTTACTATAATTTGGACAATTTTGTACCAATATTCGGCGGGCCGGATTCAAAAGCCCAACGGGCCATGCCTGGTTTAGCGGGTGGGTTTGTCAATAATTTAGCAACCGTATCTTTCTGTTTGTATTAGGAAAAATTAGCTCCCCCTGATAAATGAAAGGGTCAATGTTTAGATCAAATTAGCAGCTTATAACTACTTTTCCCTACAGATCGGGGATGTTAAGCCATCCATTTATATTGAAAGGAACCACTTGTTATTTTTAGTAGCAAGTTATGGTGTGTTTATTTTGTTTAGATAACTGGAAAATAAGCCATCAGGTTGCATGTAGGTACACATTGGTTTCCTCCTCAGTCTGACCCTGTGTACAGTAGGCAAGCCCGCCTTAACCTGCCATGAGGCCCTGGGGCTGATAGTTTTTGTAGGCCCCCTATTTAAACAACAAATCAAAGTCATTTATAGCCTCTGCAGGCTCTGTGATCGCACTTCTCCACTCTGCTCTCCTCTCCTCCAGATGAGTGACGTATCGGGCCTCCCTCATGTATTTGTCCGGTTGCCGTTGGCTCCCCTCCACGTAGCAAGTCCTCGTCGTCCTCTCCATCTCCTCCAACAGATAGGGTTGGGAACCGAAACTCGGTTCCAGATGAGAACCGATAAGAAAATGCCGGGTACCGGGTATCCATACAAAATACACAATTTCGGTTCTGCTTAACGGTTCCTAAACGCGGTAGACCCTGTATTCCACCGGGTCCGTTTGCGCCGCGGTGACCCGGTGGAATACAGGGTAAAGGCGATCTGTGTGTTCTGGAGAATCACAGAACGGCCGGTCGTCAGCGGGCCGTTGACGGCCGGCACCGCCCTTAATTTTTTTAAACGGCATCATGTAAGTTGCGCTGACAGGCGACAGAGGTCCACAGTTGCCCCGCAGCGAGGCTCCCCCGCCCTCCCGTAGACAGTTCACGAGCTCAGTCACTTCATAACACCAAAGATGGGTCGCAGTAAACGCTCTGAGGTGAGGCTCCACTACACTAAAAAGAAAAAGACAAGGCACAGTGTGATGCCTGCTAATAGCTTGCCACAGGCATAGCTCAGTTAAAATAAAGCGCAGCTATTGTGCAATACATTTGTATTGCATGTATATTTTTTATTTGTAAAAATGTCAGTTAAAGCTTAAAAGAATAAAGATATTTTTGTTATCTAAACGTTTGACCTCTTTCTTTTACAATTTTGGAATTGAAACGGGGAATCGATAAGAACCGGAATCGATAAGCAGAACCGGAATCGGAATCGATACATTTCAAACGATACCCATCCCTACCAACAGATAATGTCCCTCCGGTCTGTTTTTCCTCTCCAGCTACTCCATCGCTATCAGAACCAGACGGCCTACTTGGCTCCGAGGCCCCGCGGCCAGCACCGCTGCCGCTCAGTACAGAACTCATCTGTCCTTCCTCCTCATCCTGGCCTACAGGTTTAAAATAACCTGTAAGCTTCGGCATGTTTTGTAATAGCTGCTTGTCTCGAAACTCCTTTTCCCTCAACAATTTCCTTTCCCGAGCGCCACTCTCAAACTTTTTCTTCTCAAACTTTTTCTCCTAAACAACCTTCATCTGTCACTCAATCACTCGCAATTTGAATACGTCACATGTGAAACATATTCTCATTCTGATTGGCTGTTAAGTGGTGCCCACTGACTGTTTCGGAGTCAACATTTTTGAGAAAAATCTCTGGAATCCATTTGTGTATTTTTGCGTTTGTGTGTATCGTGTTTGTTTCCCGGGGAAAACACTCACGAGAAACACCGGCTGTTGTTCTGCCTGCTGTGACGTCAAGTTACTCCGTTCTCCACTTGTAATTATGAAGAAGCTTCAAAGCTGTATTTATCATCTGAATTTGCCGAAACAAGTTTAATATTCTGAAAGCCAAGACTTTGTTTATTTGAAATCAGATGAAAACAAACTGTAACGGACCCTGCCGTGTTATCTATTATTACTATACGCCTTACATTCATAATTTCAGCCGGAGGGAGGGGAACAGCAGAACAGCAGAGTGGCGAGGGAGAGGTGTCTTCTTCCCTTTACAAGCTTCAAAAATGTATTTATCGTGTGATTTTGGAAATACAAGTTTCATATTCTGAAAGCCAAGACTTTGTTTATTTAAAAAAAATAATTTAAAACCCGGAAAAAAATGTGAATTTTGAAAAAATAATGATTGGCTCATGATAGGCCCCCGATCTCCGTGGCCCCTGGGCTTCAGCCCAGGTCAGCCCGTGCATTAAGGCGGCCCTGACAGTAGGGCTGTACCCGAATATTCGTTCGTTGGAGTACTATTCGGGTTTCAATTTAGTTATTTGGACATTCGTTTTTTTTGGCAGCCGCGCTGCACTGCGGCTGCCAAAAAAAATGTATTGAAATCTCCAATATCAACGTAAGAGCTTGGGCCTCTTCGGGGGTGCTAACACTTGACCATAAAAGTTATCGTTTACTTTCTCCGTCTTTATATGTAGATATTACTTTTCTCCGTTAATCTCCGTCACATTGTTTCCATAGCAACAACAACTTCCTGTCAACTGTGCTAACTCTCCTTCAAAATAAAAGCATGTCCATACAAAATAGGAAGCCACGCCAAATTACACTCAAGACATACAACTGCAACGAAAGTAACAAACACAATGCGATATCCTTTTCGATTTCAAAGAACACAAATTGGGTTACATTAACAAATAACTATAAAACAACAATACTGTAGAATAACAAAATGAATGCCGTGAATAAACCGAAATAAACCGTGTTGAAGCGGTTTGCTGCTGATTACTATCCAAAAAACGATATAATCAGTGATAGAATACTGTTGACTGAAACAACTGAAATGAAAAATGATAACAAGTAGAGTGCCGGCAGACTGATAAAGTCTTTGTTGGACATCCATTCCACAGACTTTATTTGGTCAAGTCCATCCTATATCATTTTAAATGTATACTTTTAATGATGATGAGAATAATGAAAAATGATCATTCCCCCCAATCTTGTGAATTTCTCTAAATCCTGCAGGCCTGATGATGATAATGATGATGAAGATGATAATGATGACGATGATGATCATAATGATGATGACAATGAAAAGTGAGCTGTGTGATGATTCATGATAAGTAAATGATGGGGTTAATCCATCCTGCTTCAATATTCATACAGCCAAATATCTTAGATTACACGTGTCTCTGGGGCTTTCCAGTGAGAACAGCCGACAACACTGTCCCTACACACACACGCACTAACTAGGACAGAATCCTAACCCCACAATTAAGGGGGGGGGGGAATGGGGAGATTGACAGAGGAGGATCCCTCCCCAGAAATTCTTCTTCTCTTCGGAATTCTTTGTGGACTTCCTCTTGTTTCTTATTATTGAATATAGAACTTTTGGGGGATTTCGAAACTGTCACACATGTGCACACAGTGAAATGTAGTCTCTGCAGTTTACCCATACAAGTATTGGTAGCAGTGGGCAGTCTAGAGATATATACTTTATTCGTCCCAAGTTCGGACACTGTTTTCTCACGGCAGTGCCTTGGTCTATTCACGGCCTTGAACCTATGACCTTAAGGATCCCAATCCAAGTCACTACAGCCTGAGCTACTGCTGCAGAGTTTCTCTCCCTAACCCTTTCCTCCCTGTCTCACCTCTCTCCCCCTTGCCTCCCCCAGGTGTCCCATCCCCTCGGAGCGTCAGGCCCGTCTGGAGGCGGTGCGGGAGGTCTTCCTGGCAGCCTACAGCTCCACCGTGGGCCTCAAGTCCTCGGCCCCCAGCCCCTCCACAGCCATCACCGGCCTGTTGGAGCAGTTTGCCCGGGGGGTGGGCCTCCGGGGCACCAACGCCATCGTCTGAACCCTCTCAATGTGACCCCCCCGCTTCCATCCACCTAGCCAGAGCCCGTGCAACACGCCTGGACTCCGTACAATAAAGTGCCAAACATCTCTGCTCATCAGGGGAAGCACTCTTCTTCCTCCTCCTTTTAATTTCCAACTTTTCTCTGGACTTGAATCTTCCATGTTCAGTCGCTTTCAGGGAGGGAAATATTTCAGCCACAGTATCAAAAAGGGATATTGGGAAGGCTCTGTAGCTGCTGAAATGTGAATGTGTGAGAACAGGGTGTGTGTGTCTGTGACAGGAAGGACACACACACGTCTTACTTCCTCTGTTCCGTTCAAACATGCTTTGTATGCTTCAGGGTCCCTGCAGTGACCGTCCCATGTACAGGCAGCGATATGTGTTCTCTTGTTTCGTGCTGCTATTAATTTCTGATGCAAGCAGAGAATGTTGTTTTTGTCCAGGTGCGTTTTAAAGATAAATACAGCACTTACTGTTCAGACAGAAATGTTTTTCTGTTTCTTATTTGGCCCAGGAGAGGATCTAAATATCTAATCTATTTACAGCCTAGGGTCTAGATTTAAAGGTAAATATTACAGTCTGTTTTAATGCAAAACTCACCAGCCATATGAACGCTGAAAGAGTTACTGTAATAATTCCATCCGTCCTTCCTGGCAGTGAAGGGTTGGTGTGAGTTGGGGAACTAAATCTCCCTGCGCTGTTCGGTGACCCCACAAGCACTTTTTTTTTAAACGTTCTGAAACTTTGAGCCTCATTGTGCTTCAACTGAAGTACTCGAAGCAGTTTGTACCACGTCTGGGGCTGTTACCAAGGTCCCACCTGGAGGCAGCCTCTGGACAGACGGGAGGATAACAGCGGCTCTTCAGCGTGCGTACCGCATGGGAGGAAGACAGTCTTAGTCAAATAGGCTCTGATCCTTTGAAGTAGATGAGATAAAAAGAGAAGATCGTAACCCAAGAAATGAAGTTGATCCAAGCTACCGTATCACCTCGCCACTGTCTCCATATCCTCCTAAAGTCCATATTCATCACTTGTTCTTCTTCAGTAGCACTGACACGGTAGCACAAGAGGCACTGAGCATCGTGGTAGCAGATCTGTGAACCCAAGGCCTTTCAGAGCTCTTTCTCGACAGACTCAGCACAGACCCCTGCACAGCTGATATATCACAGAGGTTGTTCCAAAACATGTGCGTCCTCTTCCAGGTCGCACTGGGAAGGACATTTCTACCTTTTGGTTAGATGTACACTTTTAAGTAATTTTCTTAAGAGAAATCTGTTGAGTTTTCATTTGAGACGAGCTTGTTGGTGCCGCTGCTGAACCTCAGGACCTTTTTGTTGTGCCTTTTTATCTTCAGTCACACTGGATCACACCTCCACTGCTGCTCCAGCTTCGGGTCCTTTTCTCTTTTTAAATGGCTTTAAGAGCTTGGGGAGTTGACTGCATTAGCATTAGCAGCGTTAGCTTTGCATAAAGCTTTTGGGGTGTCCCGTTGATTGCTCATTCTGTCGTGTCTGACGGACACCCCCGAGGAGGTTGGGATGGGAATTCGGTCAGTCAGCCCAGGAATAGTAAGATTTTCACCTCTGCCTTTGAAAACGACTGTAACAGAAGAGGATTTTATTGATTTTAGGAATAATTGTTGTAGGAATTATGGGAAATACCTTTCTTCACTTTATTTGTATCGGTGATGTGAGATGATTGACCCCAATGTCGGTGTTTTAAATACAGCGCTAGAGCAGGGATGCATATGGTCTATATTAGCCTAAAGATTAGCTTTAAAGTCAAACAAAATGTGATGACAACATCCATAAACCTCGATTCCCATCTAGTCTGTTAAAGCGGAGCATGGGTAAACAAATCAGTCGGTTTACGGCTTGGGTTCGGGATATTTTTCAGATTAGAGGTGCTCTGCCAGAGAGGTGATGTTTTCAGGTTGGTTTGTCTGTGATCGGGGTACAGAACTACTACCTCAAAGACTTGGTAGGAAGTGTAGCTTGAACCAAAGAGCAAACCATTATTGATCCAACTCAAAGGTTGTGAGATAGGCCAGGTCATTCGCCCTTCCAGTTCCCTTTTTCTAGTCGTATGCTAAGCTAGGCTAATCACTTCCTGTCTCTGAGGTCTGTACTTAACACACAGACATGAAAGTGGAATCGATGTTCACATCTCAATCTCATCATTTTCAAATGTTCTTTCTACATGTGGTGTTCTGATTCTGAACTACATTCTGCTGAGCTGATCTGAAGCAAGACATTTGTATTTCTGTATTCTTGGCATTAAGTGATTTGAGAGCATTTGGTTTGTATGGCCACATTTATGAGTTTCTGCATGGGCTGTCTAAGTGTTTATTTTGTACAGCTTTACTTGAGACTTTCAGGCGCGGTCTGGTTTTAAGCTTTCTTTGTAAGATGTCCTTCCTGTAAAGGAGTTTTGATTCAGTTGGGGTTTCATATCGGTTGTTTTTATTCTGCCATCCTTTCTACTGTCTGTCTGCATCACAGTAACAGTCATTTTCAACATGTTGAACAGTTCTTGTACTTTGTTACTTCAGATACTCTTTTCACTCACTGGTTCTGCATGACATCCTCAGAGTATCTCAACTGCGGAATATAATGTTTTTTATTTGTTTGACAAATGACTTATTTTGATTTGATTTCAGAATCTCTTTAAAACGCTGCATTGCACTCGTCCTGATGTTCTCTCTGTAGAGTTATCTCTGTACAGTTGATGCATTTTTAAATAACTCTTCCTTTTTGTTTTTGTTATACATTTCTCTTAACTGTCGGCCGGCGACAGGCTACAATAAAAGGTGAACTGAGCAGCAGGTGGCAATTGTGAATAAACAACAAAAAAATGAATATCTTTGTAACTTGTTTTTGTGTAATTAGCTTCAGCTCATTGTTTTTTTTTAAATGTATTTATTTAGTACAGGCCAGAGGACACAAACAAGGACCTAAAGTAAAATACAATAACAAATGAACAGTATTAACATTCATTCAAAATAACAAAAGGAACAAAACAAACAATTATAAGGAAAGGAAGGAAGACCAAATAAACAGTCAGTAGGATGACTTCAGACAACCAGGCAATACATCCAACAACACGCAACATGTCGAGCATATTTATTATTCCATATAATCCCACTGAGTTAGAGCTGAGTGGTTTCCATGTCATCTTGTGTTGTGCCACTTTTACATTTTTTGTGGCAATAATTAAGTTAAATGTTCTTTGCAATCTATTGAACGCCTTACATTTTGATAATTCCATGATTGAGTTTACATTAGTATTTGTTTGTGACTTAATGATTTCTTTCTTGTTGAAATAGATTTGCTTTCTCAGATAACCTCAGTAGCTTCCAATATATTCATCTTCATGCATGGTTGGTGAGACATGAACTATTTACTCGACGTCCCCTTACGGCCGAGCCGACGCTAAGTGCTGGTTCTTAACACATAAGAACTCTAAGTGCAGTTTGGAAAAGGAGAAGCAGTTATATAACCGATGTGTGAAATTCCCACTTGGTAGTTCTGCTGAAATTCAAAGCATGTTAAGCAAGAATATGGTAATGGAAGAAAGAAGAAGAAGAAGTTCTGAGGTCAGAGGTCGGCTCACACTGAAGCTGTCCTCTTGTCCCGCTGCCTCAGAGGTGTAAACACTGGATTGTTTGAGTGGTTCATTCATTATTCATTTATAAAAGATGTATCATGTGGATGGCACTACATTATTCTTGCTGATTTCAGACGTGCAAACACTGTTAGGATTGAATGGCCCTGGAGATGTGTGCGAGCTGATCAGTGGGGGGAGCGTCTCCTCCTCGTTCGCTTCACTCTCCTCTTTGCAGTTTCTATTTTTCTGCATCTTCATATTACTTAAATGTTTAAAATTGTAAAAACCTTTAAATGATGAACTATGCATGATCTGTACTTTTAGTTTCAGTACTTCGCTAAGTATTTGGTAAGTGTATATGATTCTTGTACTTTTGTATTTGTCATTCAGTAAAACACGAATGCAGGGCTTAGTATTGCTACATTGTAGTATTAGTACTAAGAGTGGAGTATTCTCCCACCTTTGTGTTTTGTGGAGCTGACAGTGTAATGGGAGGATGTGATAGAGAGGTCCATGCAGAGGAAGAAGCTCGTCCGGAGAGCAAAGGTCAGCCTGTAGGCGTTCTGTTTCAGATGGCTTTAGTAGTTCAGGCTAACATCATTCTGTCAGGCTGAAGACATCCTGTTTATTTTCATCCAGGTCATTTGTTTTTCTGGAAGCATTTTGATGATTGATTTTCAAACTGCATTAAGTTCTGTTAAATGACAGTGTGTTATGAATGTCACAAGGCTCAGGACCCAAACGCACGACACCAGAAACAGGTCAGGATTAACAAAGTATTTCATAAAAAGCAAAAACACAAAACGCTCACTAGGAGGATCAAAACTGAGAAACTATAAGATCAAAAACGCTAAACACAACACCTACTAGGATTATCAAAAACGTAACACAAAGAGTCTATCAAAAATATACTTAGCAAGGTCAAGGAATGACTGGCAGACTTGGTGAGACAAGACGAACTGGCACAGGACAAGGAGAGACAAGGCTATATATACACACAAGGTAAGGGGACACAGGTGACAACAATTAAGGGAGGGGCTGACATTCACACTGGAGGGAAAACACAAGGGCAGGAAGGGCTCTGAAACAAGAGGGAAAGGTTTCTACAAAATAAAACAGGAAGTCACAAGACAAGGCAAAAGACAAAGGATTAAACTAAATGAATTCACTTAACATAAATGTCTAGACACCACACAGTGCACTTTTATTTTTAAATAAAGGCAAAATTCAAACCATGATCAGCATTCATATGATTGGCTGTAATTTAAACCTATACTAGCAGTAGCCTACAGGCTGATTTTCATGTAGTGTGCTATTTGCAAACAGCAGTATTGATATAAAATTGTCCAGTAGCTTGGTTTGTACATAAAGATGGATTAAATGACATCTCCCAAATGTGAAGCAAAGAATGCTGATGGCAACTCATGAATTAACTATGGTTTCTTAGCACATAGCTTGCTTTAGTTGTAGTGTCTTCAGTGCTTCTATTGATGTTGGACGAAGGGGAAGGGGAAGGGGAAGGGGAAGGGGGAAGGGGAAGGGGAAGGGGGGGGGGGGGGGGGGGTGTTGTTGTTGTTCTCACTCAAACAAACAAATATGGCAACAACACATGTAGAGAATTATGTATACAGTTTCGATTTCGTATACATCTTCTTATAAAGCAGGAGTGGGCAAAGAGCCAGACAACACTATGAATATAATGAGCAATATAATGACCAGTACAGTGAGAGCAACAACCTCGCAAAAGACATACAGCAAGGCAAAGTAACGTTTATGCTACACTTGTAACTGTAATGTGAATTTGACCATACAAATGTATTAATCAATCAATCAATCAATGTTTATTTATATAGCCCAATATCACAAATGTTACATTTGTCTCAGTGGACTTTACAGTTTGTACAAAATATCAGTATGACAATACGACACCCTCTGTCCTTAGACCCTCACATATTACAGATGTTTTCTTACCTAACCTGAGAGAGCAGATTCTCTAGTAGTTGAATGTGATTATTTGCGTTTATGTTCACTTCAAAGTACACACATGCTTACACAGTTAGCGATGTGTTAGCAATATCACATTCGAACAGGTTTGAAAAAGGAAACCTCTTTTGAAGAATGTTTTTAAAAAATCTAATCATTTTTGAGTCCTTCAACTCAATGCTGTCTGTACTCAGATCTTAATGATGGTGGAAAAGGAATGGAGAAAATGTTCTTCGTGAACTCTTCTCCAACCAACAAAACTAAAACAGGACAATTCTGAAAATCAGACGGATATTGTTATAGATATGTGAACTGTGTTAAACAGTTGAGAATGTACCACCAGAGAGCCGAACCTAGAGGGGTTCTGCCTCCACCGATGGAGAGAAAGGAGGATCTCTCTCTCTCCTCTCTCTCTCCTCTCCCTCCGCTGCGCTCCAGCCGTCCGCAGGAACACTTCTTCAGCCGGAGCAGATTCCCTCCGCGGCTCAGTGACTCTCTCTGGATGAAACCCATCAGAGCCACAGGAGAACTCGCGCTGTGATAGAAGTGAGAACTTGGAGGATCCAGAGGAAGTGATTAAAGCCTCAGTCATGGCGACAATAGGGGACTTCGACCCGCTCAACTCCACCGTACCTGCGACCAAGATAGAGATCACCGTCTCCTGCAGGTAACAGCGTTCACACACACCTGCAAACACTCATCTGTCATCTCACACTCCCACATCCTGGATGCTTGGTGTGAAATATAATCTCTGAGATGATCATACTCTTGTGCGTAATGTCCTGGCGTTTTCTAGGAAGCTCAGATTGTTCCTCTCGCTTTAAATCAGCGTTTTGGTTCTTTAAAGTGCATGGAGCAACTCTTCTGTATCCTGAGGAGGGATTTGCATGTGCTGTGGGTGTAGATGTGTGTGGGGGTGCAGCAACTATTCTGAGTGTCTTGGAGAGCTCCGGAGAGACTCTCAGAGATCACAGTGCGTGGATCATGTTCTCACTGTGAAGAAGGACCAGTGGCAGCGCAAGAGATTTTATTTTGGGGGTGCTGTGGGCAGTGGCGTTTTTATATGTACAAAGGTGGTGGGGCACAACAAACTTAGATGTCTATAAGCTTCTGCAGTGAGGTTCATGGCTGGTGAGGCACTGGCACTGACTCTTCAGGTTTACAAATATTATATTTTGACCTAAATCAAAATATAATATTTTCAAAACCTTTTTTTGTCTGATGCTTCGATTAATTTTAAACAGACAGTTCAACAGAAGGATACCCAAAAAAATGTAATTTTATCATTTAATATTGAATTGTTCTCTCCAAGTAAGATCCCATTTTCAATAAAATTGCAGTCTTACCTTGACTTGAAGATGAAGTCCATTTGCCTATCCTTCCGGACAAAAATCTCTATTACTTTTTTGTAAAAGTCCTCCTTATGTTCTTGTAGTTTCAAAAGTCGAATCATAAATCTAATCGATATATTTATGATTCAAAAATTATAAATGTATGGTAGACATGTGGATATTATCCGGCTGAACAAAACCTACATTTATCTAACAGGTACGTTTCCCACAGATCTTATTTTGAGCTATTTTCTAAAATCCTATGGAGAAATCTCATTGCTTTTTTGTGGAGGGAAGCCATGCGCAGCTTACTTCCTGGTTTTAGGACGCGTCTTTTGTCTCCTCTTCACACACCATACTTTTCGCGGCACACGTACTTACAGCTAATCAGCTCTGAATTATGTGAGATGACGTATGGTGGGGATGGCAGCTCTATGCCCCTATGGTCATTATTTTGTTGCCACATACATTAAAAAAAATACTCTGAGCATGCGCAGTGTAGTTTTTACAGTCATCGTTCAGTTAGACAGTGAGAGGGAGGGGCATGATCAGGTTTTGTCCCACATGGCTCTAAACAGCTCAATAGGCACACACTGTAGACACTAATTAGAAGAACACAGACTAAAACAGCAATGTACAGACGAATCAGATGATTAATCATGATCTTAAAATGTATTTTATTTTATTGCATTTTTTTGTAATAATTATTTTTAATACTTTCTGCTGACACTAGGTGGGGCAAGCTCCCCTGGGAAGATTTTTTTAAAATATTGAATTAAATACATCAATCTGGTGCACTTCAAGAGCAACATGAAGAGATCTATGGATACATCTCTCAACACCCATATGAAACAGAACTGTAAACAGATTTTCTATTTCTTTATGGATATTTTACAAATCACTCCCCTTTTAAACTGTATTCTTGTTTTACTGTCATA